AGGTGGTCGACCTCAGGCAGAAGATGGGCGAGATCGTGGAGGGGCTGAAGGGATGCTCCAACTTTGAGGGCGTGGTGTCCATCCCTCGGTACGAGGAGCCTAGGGATATCTCAAGCGTCCCCAAGGCAGAGACGCTGGCGTCGTTCCTCTCTGCCGCGCCCAAGAACGCCCCCCTGCCCGAGTTCGTCCGCGTCCCCTTCCACGAACCTTTCCTCATCTGCTACTCGTCTGGCACGACCGGCACCCCCAAGGCCATCGTCCATTCGATCGGCGGCATCCTCGTCAACTACTACAAGGAGGGCGTCCTGCACGAAGGGCTTAGCTCAGACAGCGTCACGCTGCAGTACACCACCACGGGCTGGATCATGTACCTCGCCAACTGTTCCATCCTCCTTCTCGGCGGACGCACCATCTTCTACGACGGCTCGCCGTTCCAGCCGGACGCCACCATCCTCCTACGGATTACCGCCGAGCAACAGGTCACCAAACTGGGCATCAGCCCGCGGTGGATGTTCGAGCTAGCCAAGGCCGGCCTCCGCCCGCGCGACATGTTCGACCTCTCGCGCCTGCACACCGTCACCTGCACGGGGATGGTACTGTCAGAGCAGCTCTTTGAGTGGTTCTACGACGTCGGCTTCCCAGCCCACGTGCACCTGGCCAACATCTCCGGCGGCACCGACATCGCCGGCTGCTTCGGCATCATGAACCCGCTCGAGCCCGTCTACGTCGGCGGCACGCAGGGCCCCTCGCTCGGCCTGCACGTCGCCATCTACGACTCACTGCAGCCAGACGGCGTGGTGGGCGAGGAAGTCCCCCACGGCACCCCCGGCGAGCTCGTCGCGGCCAACCCTTTCCCCAACATCCCCTGCTTCTTCTGGGGCGACAACCCCCCCACTACCAACACTAATAACAACACCAACACCAGCCCCGCCGCACCAGGCACCAAGTACCACTCGGCCTACTTCGCCCGTTTCCAACACGTCTGGGCCCACGGCGACTTCTGCGTGGTGCACCCCACCACGGGCAACATCACCTTCCTGGGCCGCGCCGACGGGGTGCTGAACCCGTCCGGGGTGCGGTTCGGGTCGGCCGAGATCTACTCGGTGGTGGAGCGGCGTTTCGCCGACCGCGTGCAGGACTCGCTGTGCGTCGGGCAGCGGCGGCCGCAGGACGCCGACGAGGCGGTGATGCTGTTCTTGCTGATGAAGCCCGGGGTCAGGTTTGAGAGGGGGTTGGTCAACGAGATTAGGAGGGCGATTGAGGTGGATTTGAGTAAGCGGCATGTGCCCAAGTATATCTTTCAGACGCCTGAGATTCCGGTAGGTTTGGTCTCTTTTTCTTGGTGTTGTGTTGCTGCTGGGGAGCATTGAGTGAGTTACTAACGATGATCTGATCATGCAGACAACGATCAACCTGAAGAAAGTCGAACTCCCCGTCAAGCAGATCGTTTCGGGGCGGACCATCAAGGCGAGCGGCACGCTGGCCAACCCGCAGAGCTTGGAGTACTACTACCGGTTCGCCAAGGTGGAGGAGTTGGTCGGGCCCAAGGAGAAGCTGTAACGTTTAGACGTTTGCAGTCCATTGGGAAACGGGGAGGGGCCCTGGTATTCGGTAGCGTAGACATTAGACCCATGGTCATATTTATTTTACCTTGCTCTTCCCAATCTACTACTTCCCCTTAATAACCCTTCTTATAGTAAGTGATCGATCCCGCAAATGCCCGGCGCCATCGCTATGCATGCCATGCCGTAGTACCCCCAACGGCGATATCGTGTCCATCCATCCATCCATCCATCCTAGACCGAGGCCGATACAAAAGATAATGCAGTATCCGTCCGTCGCTGAAACAAATACCTCCCACCCTCTCTCTTTTCTTCTCCCGCCCTCACCTCAATAATCATCGCTCATATCCATCATCGCATCCCCCTTCTCATCCCCCTCAAACTCCCCCTCACCACCACCACGCTTCCCACCCGCACCCCTCGCATTCCCCCTCATAACCGACTTCCCCTTCCCCCCACCACCCAACCCCGCCTCCGTCCACCTCGCCCTCCTCTCCATACGCATCCTCGCCGCCACCTTCTTCTCCTCCAACTCCATCTCAAACCGATCCATCTCCCCCCCACCACCCGCACCACCACCCCCTTCACCTTCTCCACGCTCGCCCTCCCCTCCACCCGCCAAGTCCAACTCCGTGCTCAACGCGCCCATCAAACTAGCCACATCGCCCACGGCCGACTCCTCCAGCGCCTTATTCAACAGCTCCGTGGCGATGGCATCCTGCGGATTGACGGCCAGCGCCTCATGCAGCACGCGGGCGGCATCGTCCGGCAGGCCCTTATCCAGCAAAATCAGGGCCTTGGCGCAAAAGACGGCGGCGTTCTTGCCGCCGTCGCGCAGCACGGTGTCGAACTCGTCGAGGGCCTCGTCGAGCAGGCGCAGGCGGCGGTAGGCGTGCCCCAGGTTGGTGCGGGCGCCGAGCCAGGCGTGGGGGTCGGCGCCGGTCTCGTCGGCGACGAGGAGGGCCTGCCGGAAGAACTTGGCGGCGTCCTTGAGGCGGTCCTGGTGGTAGAGCACGATGCCCATCTCGTTGAGGAGGAGCGGGTCCGCGCGGCAGAGCTGGTACGCCGATTTGAGGTATTCTTCGGCGGCTGTCATGTTGTTCATGGCGTGGTTCTGCATGCCGAGGAAGACTTGCGGGAGGTGGGTGCCGGTGAAGAGGCGGGCGGCGGTGGAGTAGGCCGTGATGGCCTGGTCGTGCTCGCCTTCGGCTGCGAAGGTGTGCGCGAACCCGATCCAGGCCGGGCCGAAGGTCGCGTCCATCATGGAGGACTTGCTGAAGTAGCGCCGCGCGTCGGCGATCTTAGAGGTCGCGAGGTAGTAGGTGCCGACGGCGAGCCAGGTGCAGGCGTGCTCCGGGTGGTTGTCGGCGAGGTCGTGCGCCACGAGGAAGAGCTCGTTCGTCTGCTTCAGCTCGTACAGGCAGGCGAGGTGGACGGGGTAGGCGGGGAAGTTGGACTTGTCTTCCTGGAGGACGGCGGCGGTGATGGCCAGCGCGTCCCGGAAGCGGCACTGGGTGTACAGCAGATCGGCACGGGCGAGGAGAAGGTCGGCGTTGTCCTCAAGCCCGTAGTGGGTGGAGAGAGACTCGACGGCGGCGTTGAAGGCGCGGGGACTGCCGTACTTGGAGAGCTGGGTCTGGTAGAGCATGTGCACGTAATCCCCCGGCTCCGTCCTCAGCTCTGGGTCGTCGCCCCCCTTGGGTGCCCGTGCCGTGTTGAAATCAAGCGACTGCATGAACTCGGCCTCCTCGTCGGGCGACATAAGCGAGTTGCGCACCAGCTGGGTAAACGCCTCGTAGCACTGCACGTCGATGCGCAGCGCGTCCTTGTACGCCTCCTTAGCCCGGTCAAAGGCATTCTCCTTGGCGTAGCAGAGCCCCCGGAGGTAGCACATGCCGGCCTCGTACCGCCTGGTCGACCACTCCTCCTCGCTGAGGTGGTCCGGCTGCCGCTCGGGGTTCTTGGATCCTGCCCGTGTGCCTCTTGACGCGGTTGTTCGGTGTGTCTTGCGCTTGGTGTTCGAGGTGAAGAGGTGGGCCGGGGTGAGCTCCCCCAGCAGGGCGAGGGCGTCGGAGAAGTTGTTCTGGCGGATCAGGCAGTGGGCGGCGAGGTAGCGGCAGGACGGGTTCGAGCTTATGAGGTTGTGTTTGCTCAGCAGATCGTGTGCGCGCGTGTAGTTGCCGGCGGCGAAGTGGACTTGGGCAAGCCAAAAGGCGTCGTTATCGTCTTCTATGGTTCGGAGTTTGATTCAGCGGGGGGTTCGAGGAATCGAGAATCGGGGGGTCTGTCCTACTTGTCATTGCCAACAGCTTGTCTCCGATAAAGATGGCCGACTCATACTGCGCCTTGTTGAGGGCATCCTGGCGCCAGTCACGGAGAAACCTCTCCATGTTGGGCTGCGGAGAAGCCATGGTTGTGTCGCATCGGCGTGATGAGGTCAGGATAGAGCTGTCGGGGTTTACTGAGCGGCGTGGAGTGTGGAATTGAGGCGGCCTGGCGATGATACGGGGTTTTGACAATGGGGGGTAAGTCAACTCGGGTCCTTACTGAAAGTCAACACTCCAAAAAGAAGTCCGATTTGGAGACGCGGTTGCCAAGGGAGAAAGCAACGGTGGGACGCGGCACTAAAGGCGGGGCGGAAGCCCAGTGAGTATGTAGTAAGCTTGGCATTTATAGGGCTTGGCAGTCGTCAGACAGGAGGTCTATCGTGTATCAGCCCATCGGTAACTTTCCTTTCCAAACACCAAACCGTCACAAGCATTCTGCATTCTGCGCTCCTCATCCTCATTCTCAAATCTCAAATCTCAAATCTCGTGCTTTTCTTCTCCAATTCATTCCCCGCATTTGACATTTGGTATTACATCCGTTTTCATATTCTCATCAACCCCCAATTCTAACGAATTACTGAATTACCCCTTTCTCTCTATTAACCCCCATACTTTAAAATTACAACTTGGGCTTCTTGCAGCCAGTGTCCTCCTGCGTCCTGTTACGCGGCTGGCCCAGGCCCAGGCAGCTCGCAATCTTGAAGAAGACGTCAATGTTGTTGTAGGTGCCGCCAAAGGTCTCCTGGCAGGGGCCCATGGCGTAGACGGGCACGTCGGTGAGCGAGTGCACGCCCTGGGACTGGTCGGTGGGCAGGGTGCCGTTGACGACGAAGCCGTTGGGGCGGTCCGAGTTGTTAACATAGACCGTGCCGTCGGCGCCGACGGCGGCCGGGGTGCGCGGCTTCTCGCCCACGCCGTACGACTCGCGGTGGTCCGGGTTGGCGCCGAGCCCGGCGGCGATCACGTAGCGCGGGTCCCAGTTGAGCGGGAAGTTGGCCCCCGTGCCGTAGCTGACGCCCTCCTTGGGCTGCGTGTACTGCGACAGGCCCGACCGCTCGTACACGCCGACGGCGTTGCGCTTGGACCGGTCGTCGTCTTGCGCAGCGGCGTACTTAGTGTCCGAGTTGCCAAAGACGTCTATGCGCATGTTGTTTAGTCGAGTGGGGCCATCAGTGGGAGAGGGGGGTTGTGTTCTGCTTACCAAAACCGTGGCCGTGGTCGGCCGAGACGACCACCAAGGTCTCGTCCAAGATACCGAGCTCCTCCAGCTTCGCAATGGTGGCGCGGACGGTGTCGTCCAGCTCGAGCAGGTCGCCGAGGGCGCGGTCGTAGTCGAGGGCGTGCATCTGCTTGTCGATCGAGGCAGCCTCGGACATGAGGAAGAAGCCCTTCTTGCCGCCGCGCTCGTGCAGGATGTCGATGGCCTTGAGCGTCATCTCCTTTTGGCCGGGCAGGTCGGTGGCGGGGCCCTCGCCGCCGGACGGGTTGTTCTTGAGCGAGGCCAAGTTATCAGTGTAGATGTTGCGGTCAAGCCATACAGGAAGGTTACTCCTGCAGAAAATGCCCAACGCCTTCTGATCGTTAGGGGCCGCCAGCAGGGCCGTCTTGTTCCAGCTGACCGAGTAGCCCTTCTTGGCGAACTCGGCGTAGTAGTCCTTGCCGTTCAGCGAGCCGGAGCCGGGAATGAACTGCTCGGCGCCACCGCCAAAGTAGGCGTCGGGGCCGTTGGTCTTGGTCCACGAGTAGTTGCTGACGCCGTTGAGCGCCTGGTCAATCAGAATGCCGTACTCACCACGGCGGCGGGTGTGGCCGCTGAGCGCGATCGGAGTAGCATCGGCGATGAAAGCAGTCGAGACGGCGCCCCAGGCGGAACCCTAGGTATTGACATTAGCAAACAGCACGCTCCCAAGGCAAAAGGACAACGTGGCCTACCCAGATACGGAACAGAAGCTCGACAATGGTCTCGACCTTGGGGTCGTCCTGCGGGTCGGGCGACGAGTCGGCATAAACACTGCGAATGCCGGTCAGTTCTAGAGCACCAGGCATGCGTCATCCTGGACCTAACTCACCCCATGGCGTTCACGGAGCTCTTGTGGCCGGTGTACAGGGCCGAAGCCGAGTTGGCGCTGTCAGTGATGTAGGTGTCGATCGAGTGAGACTGTTGCGCATGTGTCAACTCAATCAATTCCTAACTTCCAGACTGGCCTGTGCCGACTCACCATCTGGTGACCCAGGACAGGGAACTTGTCGAGGGCAAGCAGGGACTGGTACCGACCGTTGACGGTCTTGTGGGCCAGCAGGCGGGCGGCGGTGATCATGTTGGTGGTCATACCATCACCGATGAAGAAGATGACGTTCTTGGCCTTCTTCTTCATGGCCAGGGGACGGACAGTCCACTTGGCGGTCGTCGTCTTGCCATCGTAGTACTTGAGGGTGACGGTGTATTCGCCCGGCTCGTACAGGGCGACACGGCGGTAGGCCTTGGACGCGACGTTGACGACCGAGGGGGTGTTAGCGTCCTCGGCGAACAGGTCCTCGAACCAGGAGAAGGTCCATTTCTCCAGCTCGGGCTCGCTGTGCTTGAAGAAGTCGGCGATGCTCTTAGCCTTCTGGCCATCCTTAGCAATGGTGGCGGTGAACTTCTCGTCCGGCACGCCGTCGTTGAAGGCCTCGGAGCCGTTCTTGGGCGCGTGGATCTCGAAGCGGATGTCGAACTCCTGGCCGGGGAGGAAGTCCTGCTGGTCGGGGGGCAGCACGCAGCCGAGATCGGGGCATGTGCCGAGTCTCTGGAAGGTCTGAGCCGAGACGGCAGACAGCGAAGCTGCCAGGCACAGGGCGGCGGCGTTGGCCTTGAACATCATCTTGGCGGGTGACGCTGTAGTGACCGTGACAGTTAGGAAGCAAAAGCAAGCCGAACCGGCGATCAACAAGAGCGAGCAAACCTCACGAGAGCTGGGACAGCCAGCTGGAGCAACGCAGATCGGCAAGGCCCGCCCTGTTTATATCGAGTGCAGCAGCATTGCTGCAATTCTGCAGTGTACCCAAACAACGTGCCTTCCCATTGGCACTCCACATTAGATCGCCCACATGTCTTACCATTTCCCAGAGCCACGGGGGGATGGTCGATCGCCCGACTGGAAGCATGTCGACCGCGACCTTCCGCAAATGGAAACCGAGCCATCACTTACACGGTCCAACCGCACGGGAAATCACGACGAGAATCTGAGGCACGTGGTGCTCAAAGCAATCCTCCCAGCTGGAGATGACTGGGGACGACCGGGGACGACAGGGGCCAACTGGGAGCAATTGGGGAATGCCAGGCCTATTTCCGATTCCCGGCCATCCCCCACGAACCACAATCTTGAAAAAAATAGATCCTGGTTGGCATTGTTGGGGCACAGGCACAGCGGGGTCGAATTTGTCAACAGCTCCTTCTCGCGTGTTCCCGTCCCATGTGTCTTCCTCGATTGCCAAGTTGCCAAGACCTCTTCCCGGCCCCGGTCCTGAACGTGCTCCGGCCCGCAAATCTGATTGGCGACCGCCACACCCGGCCGCTCAACCACCGGCCCCAGCCTGCAGGAACCCAACTTCAGGCGTCCTGCGGGTTTTGATGAAGAGGTGGGCATGGTAGCAGCGGGTGGGTTGCATGCATGCGCGGGCAATTCAGTCATCCCCGGATGTCGGCCGCCGTCGCACGGGATGCGGGCCCATCGTTCGCGGGTATCCGGGCGATTGGGCCTTGCTTGTGTTGTGTTGCGTTGTGTTGTGTTGTGTCTGGTCAACCAAGGGAGTGAACGGTATGTGGTAAGGCGGGAGGTCAGGAGATGGAGGTCGGAAAAGAAGTGAAGGGGGGGGAGGCAAAAGTAGCAGGAAACAGACAAAACCAACAAACCCGTAAAACAGAAAACCGAGGGTGACAAGACGAACCACAAAAGGGAGGGAGGCAGGGAAGGCTAAATAACCCCCCGAGCTGACTCTCAAGCCAATTGGAGCCCCCACGATATCTCCCCTTGGATCGTCCTCTTGAGACATTCCCCAGGAACGCCATCAAGCCACGCCGAACACGAATCTGTCCACGGCGGTCTCACCCCTCCAAACCCACGCCACCACCAACGCCACGCTCCCAATCCAACAACCTCCTCCTTCCACTAACTAACTAACTACCCACCCAACCCAATCCATCCCCACCAACAAAACAAACCAGCTACCTACCTAACCTTTACTCCCAAACTCAGTCGGCACCATATCCCCCCTCCTCCTCCCGCGCCTCCTCGCCCTCCTCGCCTCCTCCTGCTCGCGTATCCACGCATCCGTCTCCTCCGTCTTCCGCTTCGCTTTCGTCTCGAGCAGCAAGCTCGGCGGGGGCAGCGCCGACGGCCGGAACCGCCCGAAGAGCGAGTCGTCGCTGGGCGCCTCGACCGAGCCGCCGCATGAGTTGGGGAGCGGTAGGGGCATGTTGTTGTTGTTGCTGATAAAGAGGTGCGCCGGGTTGTGGACGACATCCGCGTCCAGGTAGGTTTTGGCGTCGAAGTGGTCGGCGAGGAAACGGCCTAGCGGGGTGGAGGTTGTGGGTGCGGTGAGAACTTGATTTGTGGCGCGCTGGACGGGGAAGATGCGTGACAGGGGGTGCGGCGCGAGGAGAAACCACTCTTGGTAGGTGTACTCGTCTAGGGAGGTGTCCGGGGGGACGGTGGCGTCGTAGTAGTTGTCGTCCTCGATGCGCAGACCGAGGCGCTCTGCGATGACGTCTAGGTGGGTGACAGAGATGTAGACGCCGCGGGCTTCGGGGAAGCCGCGGATCTCAAAGCAGAAAGGGAGGAGGGGCTTGAGGATGCCGGGGTCGAAGTCTGGAGAAGCGAGGTTCTGCAAGTACTCGAGGTTAACCAGGCCGTAACGAGAAAGGTATGGCACCGGGAAGCTGAGGCTGAACTGGATCGGCCTTTTGATGTAGTAGTTGGATGGCAGGGCGAGGAACAACCTGAGCCCGAGATTGTAGTTGGCGTGCCGTTTCTGCATGTGATCCTTGAAGTACGAGTAATCCTTGGCGGTGACCGTACCGTCACATATGCAAGGCTCAAGGGCCGCGAACGCCGTTTCGATTAGGGACTTGACCTGGGCGGTGGACGGTACCCTACTTGCGCTACGGACTGCGTCCTTGGTCAAGTACTCCTTGACATCCCTGACATTCAGGTACGATACGTCCTGCTGAGAAGTGTGTCTGAAATCGAAGCCTTTGGATACCGAGATGACCTTGGGCTCATCCATATCAGGGGATAGGCTGATGTCCGAGCGGTTGCATACCTCCTGTGCGGTACAAGGCCAGTTGTCGCCGCTGAATTCTGAGAGGTACTGCCAGAGGCCGTCCAGGTGCTCGTCTCCCGTCCAGCATTTGGGCAATGCTGCCCTTTGTCCTAGGAATTCCTGGACAGTCTGAAAAACCTGGAAGCAGTCGTTTTTGGCCCGCGTCATGTCTCCGGTAGCCTCAGAGAAACCCGCGGGGAGAATGTCGGAGTCCGGGTCGCAGGGCCCAGAGACAAACACGGCGGATAGGCAGATATCGTTGTGAACGATACCGAACTGGTGGAGCTGCGCAACAAATTTCAGGAGGGTTCGAAGAAGCCTACGAGCTACTTGCGGCGTGGCCAGTTCGCAAACCTCTTCGATCGAGAAAAGGTCTTCTTGGTACCGACTAACTAAACCCAGCGCGTCCCCGATCACGCGAACAGATTCGTCTAGTATGAAAGGGCCATCGACCTAGGGTTGTAGGGCGTCCGTATCAGTACGAGCAGTGGCTAGGACAGCTAAGTGGGAAGTCTTCTGTCTTTTTTCTTTTGTTTTTTAAAAAAAAGAAAGAAAAAGAAAAAAGACAAAGCATTAAACCTCAAGGAATGATGCAAAGAATTGAAACAAGAGGGGAGAAAAAAAGGGGCTGAGACTGGTCTTGTTTTTTCGACCAAGACACACATCGATTTTGCGTCGGGCGGAGTCGCGGCCAAAGAGGAAGCAGGTAGGCAATCCGGCTTTGGTTTTCTCATAAGAAAGCTATGGCGTCACTAAACAGATAACTCCAATGTCAGGGGAGGCATCGTTCGTCTGCACCGTCGAAGTAAATCTTGAATCGTCCTCGTCCTCGCCGTCTCCGTCGCCTGTGTCCACACCACATGGGGCCGATGCTGAGAGCCAACGACACATGGAAGGGTCGTTGAGCCTCGACCATTCCTGGTATATCTACAAGCTTTTGGTGACAACGAAGACCGAACCTTCGCCTTCCCACGCTTTCATCAACCGCCGCCCAGTCTCTGGGCCTCGGGCTGTTGGCGTTTCTCGTGTCACGCCCCACAGTAATATGTAAGTGGTAAGTGTGTCCGGCGACATTGAAGCGTTGAGGGGCCACACGATCTGTGTAAGTTTGGTGGTAATGGAACGTAATTACACCATCCAAGAGACGTTATAAATGCAATCATGCGCCCTCGCTTCTGTATCGCCCTCTCAATATTTACATCACCCACGCGCATCTTCCTGATCAATCGCCCCAGGAAGGATCGGAGCAAAAAGAAACTCGGACCTCAACACCACAAAGCCCGCGCAACCAAGTGATCGCCATTTGCGCGATAGGGTTTGACATTGCATTTCCGCCGAGGACGTGGGAAGAGACGGGCAGCGAAGTGTAATGACTTCCCCACACCCAGGTATGAACTCTCATCATCAACATAAATTTAGTTTAGCAGGGAATTAATCGTCTTGCAGTACACCCAAACTCGGGCACCTGCGCGACCACCAGTCCAGATTTCGGCCGTGCTACGATGCGGCGGAATCTCCATCGGCGTATCCGCGGGTCCGGCTTCAGGCACTGGATCTGCTGTCCGAGTTGAGCTATGCCTGGAAGGGCGACCTGGCCTTTCTTCTCAACGATCTCTGATTAAGGAGAGAGGCTGGTTTTTGGTCGCCGTTCTGCTTTGCTCCTGCAGCAGATACGCTGTCGCCCATACGAGTCGAACGTTCGCGGCAGACGGCACTATGTGGATGAGTCGGGGTCTCCGACTGAAGTTGCCCACCACCGACTGTGGGGTTATTTTGAGTAGAATCTGCGTCTCGAAGAAGGCCGAAGCGGTCTGAGTGACCATTGTAGGAGTGTCAACTGCGGCCCGTCGAGATGACCTGCCAGGATAGTTGGCTCGGGTACGTCCTTATCATGCCCAAGGGCCGCACGATCAAACATTAGGTAGGTCAAAGTAGTTTAGCAACATTTACACGGGGGTAAGCACTCGTGGCGATATCATTGCGGTCGTACAAACAGTGAGCATCATCCATTTACCTCATCCATGATCATCAGTTCAAATAGCAGAGCATTTGGGATTTTAACAGGGAGCCGAGACAGCGAGGCGGGTATCCCCTAGTTAGAAAACCGGTATATACCTCAAGCCGGTCCCTGAGGAACTTCAGGTACCCACCCCTTGACAGTTGCATGTCAACCTACGTGTGCTATAGTCGGCAAATGTGACTTTGGCGACGAGCGAGTATCCACACTATTCCTGACTGCGCCGAAGAGAGGTTCTACTAAGATGCCGCAACCATCGTCCCTAATCCGACAACACCACTCCCAGCTCCCTCAAGCCCTCCGCGAGCCCCCTCGCCTCCTCGACATCAAAGTTCCCATCCCGTAAACAAGAAGAATGAAACCACACCCCATCTCCCAATCCACCTCTCCCTTCCCCTCCCAAACCCTCAACCAACCCCACCAAATTCCCCTTCCTAGCCCCTCCCCCAACAACCACCTCCACCCCTTCCCGCCCAGCAACCCTCACCACCTCCCCCAACCGCCCAACATTCCCCACCGCATCCCCCCGCCCCCCCGAAGTCAACACCCCATCAAACCCAACCCCCTTCACCTCCCCCACCACCCCCTCCACCCCAGCAGCAGTAGCACCAGCAGAAAAAACATCATCTACCGCCCGATGCAACACACACCGGAACCCAAACCCACCCGCCAGCCTCACCAACTCCCGGTTCCGCTCCCCATCCAGCACGACCTCCCTACCACCACCACCACCACCGCCACCGCCACCGCCACCACCACCGCCACCACCACCATCACCATCACCATCACCATCACTACGGCAGCGACGTAGCACGCCCAGCACAAACCCGTCGCCGAGCGCGGGGGACAAGAGGCCCGAGGTGCCGAATTGGTGGATGGAGAGGAGCATGTCGGTGAGTTCGGCGGGGGTGTAGAGGAAGTCTTGTTGTCGTTCTTGGGGGCGGGAGGGGGTGATGGTGGTGGTGGTGGTGGTGGGTTGAAGAGGGGGAGGGGGGCCGCGGGGGCGGATCATGATGCGGATTGGGATGCGGTGGGGGGGAGGGGGGGTTGTGGTTGAGGTTTGGGTTTGGGTTTGGGTTTGGTTGGGGGTGAGGGAGGCGAGGAGGGTGGTGAGTTCGTCGAGGGTGGGGGTTGTTCCGCCGAGGGCTGTGGTGAAGGGGGAGGGTTAGCTTTCCGGGGATGCGAGGCATGGTGTCATGGCTGTGTTTGTAATGGGGGGGTAATAGAAAGAGTAAAGGAAGGCTACAGGGGGAGAGGGGGTGTTGCGTACCGTAGGATCCGGCTCGGTTGAGCTCAAGGCGACTGGCTCCGAGCGACACTGCTAATGGGCCGTCATCAGGGCCGAATATGGGCACCTCCAGCCTGGCACGAGCTCCAGAGGACATGTTAACGGTTGGTGATGGATGTGATGTGGCCGTTGGTCAATGACACTGAACAAAGAATTGGTAGCGTCGAAGAAGTAAGGGCTGCGATGATGGCGTGATTCTGACACTCGCACATGTCACACTGACATAATTGTAAACCTGTCTCCTGGATCATAGTGTTGTCATCATCCCATGATCTCGGCAACGATGTCATTGCCCTAGACATGATCCTCGCCATCTGATTACCCCGCAGGGAATGACCCGCATGGTAACCCGGTTCTCGGCATGCACGATCCGATCTTCCACAAAGCTTATCTCGACTACAATAGCAACACGTGTAGTCACGACTCGTGACAGTAACCACTACACGCGTTAGGGTGAGTCACGAAAATCCGCGTTCCTTAGCAAGCACCGTGTGAACTCCCAGCCACAAACCCAACTGGGAATCAAGAATCAAACAAACTCGATCAAACCAAACTCCAAAACTGGTCACAGTACCATAGGGTCAGGGTAATGGAACAGGAGCCCAGTGAAAGCAGCGACTTGGATTGATTCCCTCCCCCTTAAAGACTAGAAGTGAAAGTATGCTAGATGCCCTAGAGCCACTCCCGTCGGACAAGCAAGGGTGTCCTCCAGCAAATTGCCGCAGCAATTAGTGTTGACGTTTGGCTGTACCCGTTTCCTCCCATCTGTCTGCCAAAAAAAACAAGTACGCTGCCGAGGCCCGATGCATCATGGCCAGCGCCGCTCAGTAATAGGGGTAGCTGTAGCCCTGGAGGGGAGCCACGGCATCACCCATCTGGGGAGGAGGCGGCTGGACCATGAACAGGCTGCCATCTACTGTCTCTGCGGTGGCCGAACGGTCGTGGTTAGCCATGAACTGGTTGTGGTGGTACTGGGGCGGCGGTGGCAGGAATCTAGGGGGAGCGAAGCTCGCGCCCGCTGATGGGACCGTCGACTTGGGAGCCGGGTCGTGTGTGCGGTAGGATGGGGCCGTGGGGTACTGACAGTTGATGACGATGGGTTCGGGCTTCACGCCGTCGTTGGAATCGATCTCGATAGGAGACTCGGAACCGCCGGTAGCGTCCGACTTGGAGGCAGTGTCGGACTGGCCCTCCTTGAGCTTCAGGCTACGGGCACGTTCCTCCTCCTTCTGCTTCTTCAAGCCCTGCTCTAGACGCATGGGTCAGTCGCTAGTCTGTTAGGTGGTATGAAGTCTGCGGGAGGTTGGATCTATACCATGCCTGTAGTACTTCATGGCTAGCTTACCGATGTTCGGCGACATGCGACCAAGGTAGGTGTTTTGAAAATAATGCTCAACTGGCGAAAGCTAGTTAGTTTGCGGTCGCTAACCTGCGGCGCGGGCTGCTGTCGACAACACAAGAGATCGAGACTTACAGACACACAGAGGAGTATACTTGCGACGAGCGTCAACGCCCATACCCTTGGTCATGCCCTGAGCGACCCAACCCCAGGACTTCTCCTCGCGGCCCTTGATGTCGCGGCCAAGGCGCTTCGGGGAGTTGGGGATCAACTGCTCCCAGTAGAGGAGTTCCTCCTGACGGGACCAAGTTTTACCACCCATGGTGGTGGTTGGGGAAAAAGGAGATGAAAAAGTAGTAGTGTTTTGTGTTAACTGGGTGAAGATCGAAGGGAGCAGTCACTGCTGATTGCTCAGAAAAAGTGTGCGATTGGAGAGGGAAGAAGAACTGTGATGGAGAAAACTGCTAGGGTTTAAGTAGCCGAGCAGCCGCCCCGGTGAACAGCCGTCCGATCTTTCTTCTGATCACAATAGAGCCGTGTGCTGGAGTGAATGGCCACAGTCACCTGGGCCAGCGATTGTGCCTGGGCCCCATCAATGGAAGAGAGCCCATGCCAAAGGCGGTGACTGACCCTGCCGTCCGAACTCCAGGGGCTCCAGGTCTCCAGGCTTGGGGCTGCAGCCTATCCTATGGACAGCCAGCTTGTGCCCATAACTCCCAGCAAACTCGAGCCTCAAAGGCCGCGGGGCCAAGAGTTTATCATTCCAGAGGTAGCGCCACGGGCAGTAGGGCCCACGCGGCCGAGGGCCCTTTGAACAATCCCTTGTTCAGCGGCCACATAGGGCTTACGTGTTCCAGCAGTCCTACCACTGCTGCTGCCCAGTGACCCACTCGCACCGGGAGTACTGGCCGCCCGTGACCGATAAAATCCGATGTTTACCATCGCACTCTTACTCAAAAGGATTTGAGGGCTCGGGCGCCGAATATCCTCGAGAGAGGAGGGAGGGCCCGAGCCTCCTTTCGATCCTTGAGAACTAAACATGGCGTCAGTGCGGGGGTCTAAGAAGCCACGAAGCCATCTGATGCTCACAATGCTCTTTTGCTCTAGCGGCACAATCCCGTTCTTGACCCAGACGCCCCAGCTGCCCATCATGTTGGCCAGCATCATGTCAGTCGCCAGTCGATCGCCCACAATGGCGATCTGGTGGGGGCCTGTCACTCCCGTTTCCGGGTGCTGGCGAAAGTACGACATGATCTCGTCACCACACCCAGGCTTCTTCACCGTGTGGGCAAGGACACTGACTCCAGTTGATGCCTCAACCGCTGAGGCTAGCTTGCCATTGACATCGTAGCTTGTCGCACCGGCGGTGTTTGATACAATTAGGAGACGGCGACCTGGATAAGCTGCTCGTAAGGCCTCGAACCGACCCTTTTCAGTCTTAGTATTATATTATAATTCTCAAGCCATACAGCACTAGAAATAATACAACAAAGCATGTTGGGAGAGCAAGATGGAGAACTAGAGCACGATGGGCAATAATACCTTGTATGGCTCATGGACCTCATTATGGTCTGGGATTGCAAAACAATCGTCCTTGTCTAACACCACAGCCCTGATGTCGACCTGCCTGCCATTTCTAGAGAAGGCTTTGTTGAGTGGTATGGGCAGGTCATCAAAAGTTGCGACTGTGGTATGAGGAAGGCACAGCGAAGGCTTCGCTAAAAGCTTGAAAATGTTGAGCGATGCTGACAGATTCAGGTTCATATTGCACCGCCAAAAAGGCTCTAATCGAGCCAAAAAGATCCAATTGGGAAGAATGGGAAAATTTATGCAAGTTAAAGAGAGAAGATGCGATTTTGGTGGGAAGGAACCGAAATTGTTCGTGACTGCTTGCACTGACTTGCTCACTGTAAAAAAGGGTTGAAGTTGGAGGAGCTTGGGCCACCCTCTGCTGCTGTGGGAAATCTGGGGCAGTCGCGTTCTCGGGCCTGGGCGCGTCTCGATTGATGGAACCCACTCCTGTCCAAGTCCCTGCATCATTACGAATAGAAGATGGATTGTTTTGGCCACGATTCAAACCCCGAGCTTAGGTGACAAGATGCCGCGTAGGAAAACCATAACAGAGGCGCCGGCGCCCCCTGCTTCTCGAAAGCGCGATCTACCCGCCGACCCATACGAAGTCCCTGACGAAGCTGAGACCCCAAGACGACGAAGACGCCTCGAAAACAGCCTTGCGGTTAACCTCGAGGATGTCGAGGAAGAAAATATCGATGTTGAGGGGGCCGAGTCCACTATCGAGTTGACCCCCGCCAAACGGCGAGGGCGCCCTCCGAAATCTGCAACTACGGGAACGCCAAAAGCTCAAGCGACGACGCCTTCAACCAAGCGACAGAAGACGGTCGCCGAGACCCCGGTGAAGCTGACTGGTATCAACACCCCTAGTAGACGGAATATTGCCGACAGGTCAGCCAGGAGGAAAAGCGCCAGGGCCTTGATAGACCGTGTGATAGGGGGCACCGTCAGCGATGACGAGGTGGAAGAAGGGGATATTGCACGAGAAATCTACGAATCGAGCGAGGATGAGGAGGCCGAGACAGAGGGGCAACCTGGGGTAGAGGAAGGCCAAGAACCTACAACGCCTTCAAAAACCCCAGGGAGAAAGCGCAGGGCCACGGGGCGGAAGAAATCACCAACCCCTCCTCGCGATCTGCCTCCTCACGAGCAGTACTTTTACCAAAACAAAGCCGGCTTGGCCAAGACATCCAACAACACCCTATCCTCACTGGACCTTCTGAAACACGAAGAATACTTCTCTATCCTTCGTCAACTCAAAGACCCCCACGCTGGAGACGTCAACTTCCTCCAGTCTCTCCACGCCGAGTCCTTCCCCCAATGGGCCTTCGAGCTCTCCCAGGGGTTCAGTACCTGCCTCTACGGCTACGGCTCCAAACGCCGTCTACTCCATAACTTCGCCACCTACCTCTCCTCCCAAAACCCTTCACACAAAATTGTCATCATCAACGGCTACGTCCGCACCCTCACAGCCCGCGACATCCTCGCCACCCTTACCTCCGCCCTCCCCTCCCTTGCCCCAGGGGGCGGAGGAAGCACAGGCAACCCTTCCACAGCCATCCAAACCCTCCTCACCAACCTCACCAATCTCCCCACCTCAGCCGACAACCCCCCCACCACACTCACCATCCTCCTCAACTCAATCGACTCCCCCACCCTCCGCACCAAACCCGCCCTGCAATCCCTCCTCTCCACACTCGCCTCCCACCCACAGATCCACCTCGCCTGCACGGCCGACACGGCCGACTTCGCGCTGCTCTGGGACGCGGCGCTGCGCGCGGCGCTCAACCTGGTCTTCCACGACTGCACGACCTTCGCCCCGCGCGCCCCCTGCGAGCTCGACGTCGTCGACGAGGTCCACGAGCTCCTGGGCCGCAAGGCCCGCCGCGCCGGCGGCAAGAGAGGTGTCGCCTTCGTCCTGCGCAGTCTGCCCGAGAATGCGCGCGCGTTGTTTCGGTTGTTGGTCGGGGAGGTGTTGGTGGCGGCGGAGGAGCAGGGGGTTGGTGGTGGTGCTGGAGGAGGGGATGGGGAGGTGGCGGTGGAGTATCGGATGGTGTATAACAAGGCGGTGGAGGAGTTCATTTGCAGTTCGGAGATGGCGTTCCGCACGCTGCTGAAGGAGTAAGTTATCCCGCTTAAACCCCCATTTGACCGGCCATATTGCAAAAGGATAAGGGCTAACTCGCACCGCAGATTCCACGACCACCAGATCATCACCAGCCACAAGGACTCTATTGGCACGGAGCTGCTCAGTCTTCCGTTCCGGGGAGACGAGCTTGAATCCATTCTAGAGGAGCTGACCACATGATGTGATGTATAGCTTTGAAATGGTTGTAACTGCACCATTGGGCGGAGTTCTGGGGGCGCGGACTGCTTGGATATCATGTAGGGTAAAGAGCGTAGGGCCATAAACCATTAGAGAGACATGGCATGTCATTGTCCACGATGCATGTATTTATCTGTGTCAGCGCGTGATGGATGTCTATCGAAAACCACAATGCCGGTCGGTCACTTTGACGCAAAGAACAGTTAGTTGTATGTCTGGCCTGCGTTGTACGGTCTTCTCTATTGTATTTGCCTGGTGCAGTAGATCATGTTGGCTGACCTCCAGCTTCAGAACAAACTATATCAACTGACACAACCAACCCAATGACAGCCTGAAGAAGGTCGGCTTGCTCATATCCGCCAAGCATGTGAAGAGCTGAGTGGAGCAAAAAATGCCCTTCCTTAAGCTCACCCGCAGAGTTCTCATCATCTTACTTTACGGGGTTCAAGGAACTAACAGACAGCGACCACAAAGCCCTCACATGCCAGAACGAGATCGCAAGTTTCGGTTAAGCAGTCTAGGTTTACTCGTCAGGTAGCACAAAGACACGATGGAAGCATAGCACATAGCACAGGCAACGGATCAGGACGAGAGCCCTTATTAGGCCACGAAAAGATAATAGTAAAGTGGTTTTTTTGGTCGGACTCCTCAGTACGGACTGTAGTTTGAAGCCACGAAGAACCGAAGCCACTGCTCGAATAATTCGCTCGGTCGAGAAAACCGAGGCCCTGCAAAAGCCTGACCCATTGCGCACCCATTTTCCTGCGCGCTGCCCGTCCTTCGCAGATCATCGGCTGTGTCCCAGTGCCAACGATGAGAGCCAAGAAGCATTTTCCCCTCTTCCGGCCGAAATCATCAAAGGGGTATCATGCTCCGTCAACCGCTCCCAGTCCTCAACAGACCTGCCGAAAAATTACCAGTCCATCTCTCAGGCACTTCAGGAATGCCTCCTGTAATCCTCCCTAGACCTGAGACCACCTGGCCAAAGTCGGATCGCTGTGCCGACCAGAGATAAAGCCGAGAAATCCACTTTTGTCTATGAGATGATGTCGTGAAAAGGAAAAACTGAAAACAGATGAAAAAAGCCTGCGGCGTGCCATGACCCCCATTTCTATGTGAACGCATTGAGCCCTCTCCGTAAAAGCAGGCCAAGGGCAGAAACATGACGATCGTGAAGGTTGATAAAAGATCTCGTGTCCAGATCAAATCAACCGGGCCTGCAATGCATGCCATCCGTAGCATGAGCGCGCAGGGCGTTGTTGACGTCCCAAGCCTTCTGGTCTAAGGGTATCAAATCGTCGAATAGAGTCGTCCCGTTTCCGTAAACAGGAAAACCCAGTCTATCGTCAAAGCCAGAGAGAACCTCGGCATCGAGTCCTGTTGGGCTCTAGTCGGAAATGATAAGCCATGTTCGCCGCATTAGAAATTCCGGAAATTCCGAACGTGAAATCGAAAGCAAGGCGACATATGCGAGAAACGATGACAAAGAAAGAAAAGTCGATGCGCCGCGTAAAGAACGGGGCCGCGGTATGGTCTCTGGAATGGTTTACCACCAGGACTGGCCACCGGCACCACCGGGGTTGCCGTAGCCACCGCCGTAGCCGCCGCTGTATCCGCCGCCATAACCACCGCTCTGGGGGGCACCGCCATAGCCACCGCCGCCACCGAAGCCGCCACCACCGCCAGAGCCGTGCTGACCACCACCGAAGCCGCCGCCGCCGCCGCCGAAGCCTCCACCACCGCCGCCATACTTGCGGAAATCGGTGTTACCGCCACGACCGCCGCGACCACGACCGCCGCCACCACGGCCACGGCCGCCACCGCCGCCAAAGGACGACTCGCGGGCGATGGTCTCGAGGAAAGCAGGAACCTCCTGGTTAGCTTCCTTGAGGAGGTCAAGAAGCTCCCGGACGATACCGCGGTTGCCACGGTTGAAGAAGGCAGTAGCGATACCCGTGTTACCGGCACGACCAGTACGACCAATACGGTGCACATAGTCGTCAACATCAGTGGGAAGGTCGTAGTTGATGACGTGGGTGACGTTGGGAATATCGAGTCCACGAGCAGCAACAGCAGTGGCGACCAGGATGGGGCACTTGCCGTTGCGGAACAGCTCTAGAGCGCGCTCACGCTCACGTTGGGTGCGGTCACCGTGAATCGAGGTGGCGGGGAAGTTTTGGTTGATGAGGAAATCCGACAGGGAATCAGCCATGCGCTTGGTCTCGACAAAGATAAGCGTGAGACCGCCGGCGTGGGTGTGCAGAATGTCGAGGAGGACGGAACGCTTGTCGACGTCCTCGACGTATTCGACCTTCTGGGTGATGTTTTCCGAAGTAGAACCAACACGACCGACAGAAAGGAAAACGTAGTCGTTGAGGAAGTCCTGGGCAAGCATTTGGATGTCGCGAGGGAAAGTGGCCGAAAACATGAGCGTCTGGCGCTGGCCGGTGGTAGGCATGTCTTCACCCTGAACAATGCGGCGAATCTGGGGCTCGAAACCCATGTCCAACATGCGATCAGCCTCGTCAAGCACGAGGTACTTGATGTTGCAGAGCGAGATGCGACCACGCTCTATGAGGTCGACAAGTCTACCAGGGGTAGCAACTAGAAGATCGCAGCCGCGCTCCATCTGGCGGAGCTGGGAGCCAATATCGGCACCGCCGTAGACGACGCAAGGGCGCACCCAGGAGCGGTAAGCAAACTTGCGAGCTTCCTCGTAGATCTGCGAAACCAGCTCACGGGTGGGGGCCAGGATCAAGGCAGTAGGGTAAGCCTTGCGCTGGCGGTAGCCGCCGCCGCTCTGAGCGGGAATAGGCGAAGGGCCTTGGGTGAAAGACTGGTGCATGATGGGGAACAAGAAACCACCGGTCTTGCCGGAGCCGGTCTGGGCGCAGGCCATCAGATCACGGCCATTGATGACAATGGGGATGGAGTACTTCTGAACTGGAGTAGGGATCTGGTAGCGAGCGAGCTCAATGTTGGAGAGCAGGTGAGCATCCAGCGGGGGGTTGCTAAAAGTGAGGACCGGCTCAGGCACGTCACGGCCGGAGGGATTGACCGGGATATCGTCGTACTTCTCGAAGTTGATGCCGGTGTGCTGCTTGCTCGGGTCGTCGGCAGTGCCAAAGAGGTCACGCTCCAGGCGAGGGTCGCTGTTACCAATGACGTGCTTGCCCTCGATCCACCGGCCTTCGCCGCGGCCAACACCACCACCCATGTTACCACCGCCGCCGCCGCCAGCGTTAGGTCCGCGGTAAGCATTGCGGTTGAAGCCACCGCCGCCCCGGGGGCCGCCCCAAGGCTGAGGGCCAGGGCCATTTTCGTATCCGCCGCTCCAGTTGCCGCCGCCACCAGCGCGCGCATCAAAATTGTTATTGCTACTAACGAGTTAGAATTGAATGCTGTACCGCTGCAGGTGTGCTGCGGGTTTTTTCATGACTTACCCGGCCCAAGCGCTGTTGTTGAGGCCACCCATGGGGCTAGAGCCCGGACCCGGCTGAGGGGGAGAGTTCATGGGGGGGGACGCAATGGGGCTGCCCGGAGAGCCGGGGGCGCTCATCTTGCCGCGCATGTGGGGAGGAATGTAGGAACGAGCCGTGGGCTGCTGGCCAGGGTGCTGGCCCGGCTGGGGAGAGCCAAGGGACAAGTTGCCCATGTCGCCGTTGAGTTGGTCCGCCATGATTGTGGTCGAGGAAGGGTCGGCCGAAAACTGGTAGGTCGGTTGTATTTTTCGTCTCTCGAAAAGAACGCGTTGTTCAAATGAGAGTGGTCGAGTAACGAAGTCGGTAAGACTCGGAAAGAACGCAGGGAAAACGGATTAAAAAGCGAAAACAAAGACGAAACTGGCGTCGCTTCAAGGTCGCGTTCTATGATGTTGCTTGGGGTCGCTCGTCTCAAATAACGAATTATTAAGAGGGAGCGTTGTTTCTCCTACGATCCTTTCGAAGAACCCGAAATGCAGATTCTCAAAAGGAAAACGAAGGACGATTGTAAAGAGAAATACGATTCAAGGGGCTGGATTCAAGAATCCTTGTGTGGTAGGAGGAAGGAGGAAGAATTTTTCAGGAAGAAGAGAGGATGGAGGGCGCAGAAAAAGAAGAGTTTTGGATCGGGTGTCGGACCCACTTTACGAGAGAGCGGTTCTGGCAAGGCGAACTCAGCAAAGCCGTGTGCCACAAGACCCCTGCACGGACTTTCTAGGGGTCTCTCTCTGGCCACCCACGCTTCTCCTTCCTTGGCTGATGCTGTCCAAATCCCCCGCACTATTTTGGGGAAAGGGCGACCTGATGGCGAAAGAAGATCACAGTTTGTGTCAGTGCTTTACTTCTGTGGCAAAGCGGGTCAGCTGTCCGGGTATTTCCTGGGCAGCTGTTCATGTTCACATTGTTTCGTTGTTCATGTCAGAATTTCATCTGCGAAGGCCCATGGGCGAAAAGGCCTGACAAGGTGGTCAGGATTGGCATACGAAAGGCGAGGGATGGGAGGCGATATTCCAACTCGCACGTGGCATTTATCTCTTCGTACGTACCCTCGGGAACCCCGAGGGAACCAGAGGAACGGGCGGTGTTTTAAGACGAGAGCCATTGTCGCCCTCGGCACCCGAGTCCCTCTTTTTATTGGCCCATGAGTGGCCCTAAACCGTCCATGTATCCAACGAGGCGACTTACTAACGAGCCTCGAGGGAGTCATGTTCGAATACTCGACGGAGCAAAACACAATCACATTCCGGGAACAGAAGCCGGGCATTTCACCATTTCTGGCATTGAAAGCGTGGTTTCTGACCTAGCCTTTGTTTGTGCGCCACTGCATGACAACTCAAATCGCAGCGCGTTGTGTATGACTCTCAGCTCACCGCCTCGCAGGGCTCCCGTCGATTGATAGGGCGTGTAGGACGCAGGAGACGTGGGACAATGTGGACAAGCTGAATCCGGTTAGAGACAGTCCCAATACGAATGGCAGGGTTGGTCGCAATGGGGCAGACAAGGGGTTCCGCCTTGGAAGGCGACCGCCTCCCGAGACAACAACGATGTCATCAAATGGCCGATAAGCAACGCACCAAATCTATTCATGGTCCTCGGTAACGCCCGCCCCGATATCTATGTTCTACTTGGGTAACTTGTGATATGGCAATGTAGCTCAGTGTGGTGGGAGAAAGATGGGAGCAGTCTAGATGAGTTGCAGTGGTTTGGCTCAGTTTCGGTGGTTTGGTTAGGGTGCGCGGACGGATGACGGACAACGGTGAAAGTGGTGCGTGCGTGGGCAATTGAAGGTCGGTGCTGAGGCCAATCAAGCATCCTTCCCACAACAGTGAAGCCAAGTATGATCGACCGCAAGTCCTGCTGGTGTAGCCATTCAAGGGCTGAAACCGAGGCAGCAACAGGGTTCGCAGGGGCACCACTTGGCCAAAACGCGGACATGATACCGAGAAGAAACTCAGTCGGCGCCAAATCCATACCGACGCCTCTTGTCAGGTATCATACACAATTTATTCCTGTCAGAGTCCCCGCCGACCCTGATAATCAAGTGCCCCTCACCACTTCATCTTCATCAAATGGCATGGCCTCGATCCCGTCCTTTGTAACAACTTTGACCACCAAGCCTTTGAAGTCTATCGGTAACCTCCTCTTCAGTTCGTCTGCGCAAAGCCTGAGAAGCTCCATGCTCGCGCTCAAGGGAGATGTCGGGCTGGTGGTGTTTGTCGAGGAGGGACAGGCAGTAGTATCTGGGACAATCAGCACTCGGCAACCCATACCCTAAACCAAACGAGCTTCTGTAACCTACTGTGCGTAGCCATGCGCTGCGTATGGCACTGAGGCCAACGACGCAAGATAATCTAGCCAGTACAAGCTCGGCTTGTGTGTGATGGGGTCAACTCTCGCCGAGAAGGAGGTTGACGTTGTAGGGCTTACGAGACAGAAGACTAGATACCAACTCGCCGCGCACAAAGTTGACAAGGGCCGAGGGGGAAAGATCGGTCTCATTCCGCATCGAGTAGAGCTGGGCGTTGGCTTGAATATATTCGGCGAACTGTACTATTGCGGGGGTAAGCGGGGTGAATGTGCGTATCGCTCCCAGTTTCTGGTCACCAACCCGTGTCGCCGGCCTCGCCAGAGAATGCCATCAATGTGTGCTTGTTAAGCTGTCTCGTCTTGTCGTCGGAAACCTTCAAGATAGTCGCCCCACGCATCGCGGCCTTGGAGGCCGCGATCAAGGTAAAGTCCTTGCCTGTGATGCCGAGCAAAACCTCCCTGAGAGTCTAGTTAGCTAAGTAATTTGAATCCACCTGAGTACTGCCATACATCTTTGCGTTTTAGGTGTCGGACGATGTGGTGGTTGTTGATGTTGCTGGTATTTGGCAAGCTTCCCTTCCTCGCTTGCTTCCTCGCTGGAGCTCAGGCAGGCAGGAGCGAACGCGCACTTGGAGCTTCAGCCTGAGCGCACGGACACTCCCCGCCTGCCCTCTAGCCCGCCAACGGCGGCGGTGGGGACAAGGCGTGCCCCATAATCCCTGGTCAGCATTGCCCCGCTGAGGCTGAATGTGGCGGCGCGGCCTGGCGGCGTCGGTATCTTTCTCCACCGATGCAGGCTAACTTTTTTTCTGGACCCGCTCAGAAATTTTGAGAGCAGCCGCAGATCAGTGAAGAAAGGCTGCCAAAAAAAAGGCAGACGACAGCGACAACTTCCAGGGAAACGGGTCGCAGCCGCCACCATGTCGTCTTTTTTTACGACACCCGGAGCCCAGAAGAAGAGGAAGCGCACGGTGGCAACAGAAGCACCAAAGAAGCGACTAGCAACAACTAAGCCATCATCGAAACCACCGAGCAGGGGCCCCGCCAAATCCTCCGTCGCCCCGAAGAAAAAGGCCATTGAACGAGACGAGTCGATCTCAGGGAGCGATATCGAGAGTGACGAAAGCGGAGACGATGTTCGGGACAGGAGCGGCTCTGAGGATTCTTCAGACGAGTCGGATAGTGGAGGGGAGACGGCAGCAGAGAAGCGGTTGAGGTTAGCACAGCGGTATCTCGAGAAGACGCGAAAGGAGGTGGAATTGGAGGATGAGTACGCGTTCGATGCAGAGGAGATTGACCGAGATCTTCTTGCTGAGAGGCTACAAGAGGACGTGGCCGAATCGAAGGTAAAGTCTACCGGCGGTTGGTCTCAGAATTAAACTTCGAAGAGGCATCGCATACCCAATTCCGTTGGACTCGGGTTCGGTAACCTCGGTTGCCGTGTGCGCTCCCTACGCGTACACAACGACAAAAGACGGCTACCTCACAAAATGGAAATTGCAAGACCTGCCTAAAGACCAATGGCCGCAGACAACACGGAGGAAACCAAAGAAGCCCCCCGCGCCGCCCAAGCGGAAACCCGAGAGGATATGTTTCGCCAAATCCAACCCGGGAAAGACCAAGGACAAGAGCTATCAGGGCCACACAGGGGCACCACTCACCGTCAAGGCGTCGCAAGACGGAAAGTACGTCGTAACCGGAGGTGTCGACCGCCGCCTGGTTGTCTACAACGCCGCCGACCTCAAGCCCATCCGCGCCTTCACGCAGCACCGCGACGCCGTGACGGGCCTGGCCTTCCGCCGCGGCACCAACCAACTCTTCTCCTGCTCCAAAGACCGCACCGTCAAGGTCTGGTCGCTCGACGAGCTGGCCTACGTCGAGACCCTTTTCGGCCACCAGGACGAGATCCTCGACGTGGACGCGCTCGCCCAGGAGCGGTGCGTCAGCGTCGGCGCCCGCGACCGCACCGCGCGCTACTGGAAAGTACCCGAGGAGTCGCAGCTGGTGTTCCGCGGCGGGGCGGGCGAGGGCGGCAAGAAGAGCCGGGTGCCGGTCGGCGTGGACCCGGCGTCGGCGGCGCACGAGGGCAGCATGGACCGCGTGGCCATGCTCGACGACGAGATCTTCGTGACGGGCAGCGACAACGGCGACCTCGCCCTGTGGAGCATCCAGCGCAAGAAGGCCCTGCACGTCGTCCCGCGCGCCCACGGCATCGAGCCGCCCCTGGACCCCGCCCAGTCCTCCGCCGACGAGGTCCCCGACCCGAGCGTCGTCCCCCCGCCCCAGCCGCGCGCCATCACCGCCCTGCGCACCGTCCCCTACTCGGATGTCATCCTCAGCGGCAGCTGGGATGGCTGTGTGCGCGTGTGGCGGCTGAGCGAGGACAAGCGCAAGATCGAGGTCGTGGGCGTGCTGGGCGGCGCACCGCCCACACTGCCCAATGGGGTACACGCTGACGGCAAAGACAAGAAAGAATCGCCCAGCCAGGATTTGGTCCGCGGCATAATCAACGACATTGCCATGTTTGAGCGGGGCGAGAGGGGCCGGGACGGGCTTTGCGTGGTGGCGGTCACGGGCAAGGAGCTGCGGCTCGGCAGGTGGAAGAACATGAAGGAGGGCCGGTGCGGCGCCGTCATCTTTGAGGTGCCGAAGGCGGTTGTGAAGAAGCAGGATGGGGCCGAGTTGAACGGGGGATCGGCCGGGTTAGACGGCGAGGAGGATAACTAGTTTGTTGTTGCTGTTGTTGTTGTTGTCAAGACTTGTAGAGAGACATGGGAGGCAGAGCTCGGATCTGGGGCTGGTCTATACCCGAGGCAGGCAGGCATTGGCAACCCTCCTCAGTCAGATGATGTACATACAAAATAATCCCGCGGAATGGAATCTGCGCACGCAAAGCGAGACGTTATTTGTTGTCATTCATTCCAGGTCTCATCTACCCTTACAACCAACCCCCGCTTCCCCCCATCAAGCGGATAGTTGCCGCGAGTTTTCAGATCAGTCCTCCATCTGCCGTCTATCTCTTAATGCACCGTGGTGATATTTGCTAGCAGTGACAGATACTGCAGAATAAAGCTCATAAACTGGCTTGAGAAGCTCGGGTAACCGACCACATTGAAAACAAATGTTTGAGTACGTGTAGCACAACAAAAAACAAATCCACCCCCGACACCAGATACGATGTCATGTCATTAGAATTCCACCATCACGCCGGTAAACAATGCTATCATCTTCGATCCGATGCTGCGCCACACCCAGGCCACCCGGGTTGTTGAATCCATGAAGCGATGAGGCCAAGGTCAAGAAACCTCAAGGGTATATGGTAAAAGCGGCAGAGAGTCTGGCAAACGTTCTGAGCACGGAATGCGCAGCCAAGCACGACGGCCAAGCCAACTCTATGGCCCCAGCCAGGTAAAGGAACCGTTCAATCATCCGTAAGATCGATGGGATCCGAGTTGCGCACCACCTCAGCGCTCATCACAACCGGACCTTCATCAACCACAAAATGGCTGGTGGTGTGCTTCGGGCGGGCCTTAGCCGCCCGACGGCGCCTCACGCTCGCGGGTGATGAGGGTTCCGGTCTCCCTTGTGTGGCCCTCGGCTTCGCGGCGTTGGGAGAGTGGAACGAGGCGGGCAAGACTTCGACAGTTGTTTCCCCATCCTCGGCTGGCCCGCTCGGCGATGTGGATGATAGCGGGGAGAGAAGCAATGGATCGCCTCGTGACGGAGAGGGTGAGCCGGGAAGATCTTCCGCGTCGGGTGCCTTAACGGTGAGGGAGACAGGGTCGTCTTCCACGGTAGGGATGGGAACTGTGGCCTCATCTAGGTTGTCTTGCTGTAAAGCCGGCGGCCGAGGGGATAGTGGCGCGCGTACCATCTCTGAAACCTGCGGCTTTTCGCCGCCGCTCGTTCTTGTTGGCTGTGTGGCGCAACGTGTAGGCTCCGTGCTAGGACCATCTACCTGCGGGGTATCCACGTTCATCGGGCTACCAGAGGTGCTGTTAGGGACGGAGTGTCCCGAGGAATTTGTCTCGTTTCCTAGCTTGCCGTTTAATGTGTCGGTACCTTTGGTGTCCTCAGTAGTATTATCCTGCGATGGGTGGCGGCTTGGCTCCACGCTTGACTTAGGAGGAGAGGCAGCGGCGGATGCCTCGAGCTTTGCTTTGGGCCCCCGCTGCGGTTTCAAGTGTTGCTTTCGCTCCTCGAATATCGTTTCGCGCCATAGATTACGCAGATCCGAAGGGTCGAATTTCCAATCCGGAGACTCTTTTTGGAGTAAGGTTCGAACGAACTGATCTGGGTCTTTCACGAATTCCTGAATGTATCCGAGGAGGTAGACACCGCAGTCGCATAAATTGTTCTGTTCCGGTATATTGACGGCCTTCATACCCAGCGTCGTGGGGGGGTCGGTAATCACCGTTTTGCGCTTGTCCTCAAACTCGGCAAGAAGATACTTCCTGAGGTGGGAGATAGCCTGGGGATGGGTTGAGCCTAAAGAATCAAGAGTGATGATCCTTGGGTCGTCAGGGCTGTATGTCTTTGCGCCAGCCTTTGCCTTTTTGGGTTGCTTTGCCCGAAACGTCGAAGTCAGGTCTATACTGACGTTCTTATCGTCAGAAACCAAGTCAACGAGGTCGGACTTGACCATGTTTGTTTTGTCTCTCGGTGATCGCGGCGGCCGCTTTTCAGTGACGTCCGTCATTTCCACGTCGGATGTCGCGCCGTTGACTTTGCCGTCCATCACTTGGGCCGGGGGGTCTCGAGTATCGCCCGAAGCCCGTCTCGAGGCTGGGTCAAGCTTCCCGGGGTTGCATATGATGGCCACCCACCAATGGTAGTGTTCGTTGACGGGTACGATGATGTAATCGAATGACAACAAGTCGACCTTTGTAGTCCAATTTTTGACACCATCGTAGTTGATCGCACCCCTGCCCGCCTTGAGTTTCTCGTAGAAGAAGGAGTTGTGGAGGTAAACGCGCTTGTGTAAATCCTTAGTCCTTGCGCCGAACACGTCAAAGAGATAGCGGAGACCATAGCCGATGAGATTGTCATTCAGACACTGGCCTTCGTCGAGCCTGGGTATGTCTTCTTTGTCCACGGTTGTGCGCCGACGGATCAGTGGCATATCCCAACCCTGTGCCCAGTCCTGATTCTCGTCAGACCAGCGACGCACGGCAGATACACGCGGCATTTCAGGCGCTGGCCCCTGTTGAAAAATGTCCCTCGTCCTCAAGGAGCGCGACGCAACCGGGGCGCGTTCACTAGCAGTACCGAACGGGGGAACCGGAGTTCCCGTGTGCTGAGCTGAGACTTGCATCTGGTGTCGAATGGGGGTCCGAGAGCTGGCCGGCGCACTTTCGGTGAAAGCCGCATTTGCTCTGGGCGATGCTTCGTTTGCCTCCGTCAAGCGGACCGGGGTGCCGTCGGACAAACGCCTGTCTGATACCTGATTGCGACTATGGGCTACATCAGTATGTAGCTTTTTGTACGACAAGGCCAGCTTATTTCTAAATACCGTCAGCATGGCACGAACAGTAAGCAAGGCTCTTTGGGCAACAGTACTCTTCTTTTTCTAGATCGACGCGCACCGCAAGGTGCTTGCGAACCCACTCAACGACCCACAATGCGTCCGCATTGCTACGAAACTCGATGAACATCATACCCCCAATTAGTATCGAGGTTTGGTCCCTTGATTGGGTGAGCTTGATGAGGCTGGAGTCCGGATGGTAAAACAAGGTGTTCGCTTTCCCTGTAATCTTGAGCCATTGATATGGCTCCGCAGGGAGGCTCTCGTGAGTAAACACACGCAATTCTGGGCCATCGGTCGGTCGGAGGAAGCAGTTGTTCTGGCCATTGCTTGCCGCAAATCTGAAATTTGGCTGGCACACAGCTGCTACCACGCCGACGCCAGTAGGTATGCGATCTCCTCGGACGTCCGCCCACTTGGTTGATTTCATATCCCCCCGTCGGGACAGACTCGGGGATTTATTTTTCGGTGAGCCCTCAACTGCCTGCCTTTCGCTGGCTGTAGGGGGTTCTCTACCGCTCGTCCCCCACGCCAGTTCATCTTCGTCATCGACGAGCTCGTGGTTTGGGCGCTTTTTGTTTCGAGGGCTTAGACCTGGCCGGGTCGGTTTGCTGAGGATGCAGGCATCTACGGGGTCGCGGGTCGCATTGGACGCCAAAATCAGACGAGCGGTCCGTTGCTGACGTGGAGCAGGCTTCTGGGCCGGGTTAAGCACGTCAAAATCGTCGTCGATCGGGTCCTGGTGAGATATCCGACCTCGGCTAGCCTGGCTGGTCATGGCGGGCATGGCAGAAGGGTGGTTCGTCTGCGGGCGACGGCTGCGCCTGTGTGAGCGCCCTGTTCCCTTGGTAGACTCTTGCACGATCTGGTATTCTGGAATTCCAGGGGATACTGAGTGGGCAAGGCTCGTCTGACTGCCGTGCCGCTCCGTCCATGATATCGCATCCTGGTCAATATCTGTGATCTCCTCAGTCAGGCTCCGTCGACGGGGATCGAGAAGGGTTTTTTGTCGTTTTGGAGGGGGAGCTTCGTCGGTTGGTTGGAAGGTGTTCGACGTTTGAAGAGGGCCTGGAGAAACACTGGGACCAGAGTCGAGCGTGTTTATGTGCGTCTGGGGCGCAATGGCTTTCTAACTCTGATCAGCATGTCGTTGTGTAGCCGCTCGTCATGGAACAACGCACCAGTAAGCCCGGCAACCGCATCCTGACTACTCCCTTCACAGATCTATATTGTCAGCTTCCTTTTCGCCGGCCGGCCGAAGATACTGAAAAAAGGGAGAAAAAAAAAAGAAGAAAAAAAGGCGGTCCCCATACCCATAATCTGGAAACGAGTGTGCCGTTTTGTGGAATTCGAGACGACTCCTACTCGCGCGACTAGCTGTATTTTCGCTGGAGTTCATCGCTCGTGGTGGCATACGATTTTTTGAGCCTTGCGCATTGTGAGCGCCGGGCGCATGGGCAGGCGTCGGCTCCTGTTCGGCTCTGGTTGCGAACGAGTTTCTTGCATCTGCATCGCGAAACGAGGAATCGGGTGGGTCTCTCGCCAAAATGTGGTGGGCCATTTCACCAGTAAACGTTATTGTGGGGCATTCAGCCAAAGAACAACCGCAGCGCCAACATGCTGACACTTGTCCAAGTTGGGAATAAGGAAGCTTAAATGTGTAAGAGGGACGTAAGTTATGTCCTTGCCTATCAAGAAGGAGCGGCAATGGCATCAAAAATGAGGTAGTGCAGCTACTTATTCAAACGCAAAGTCGATCATTGTCACGAGGCTGCAGTCACAAGCTCCGATGCGGCGGCACTTGCCAGGGTTCCGAGTCGGGTTTAGGGCCTCTGGGCGCGTCAATCGCCATGCGACGGCCTGGAACTTTACACCCCTGTCCCGCTGCCTGCCGCCTTCAACATCAACCACCAACCAGTCAAACAACCAGCCAACCAACCAGCCAACCAACCTGAGGACAGGGACACTGTACCGGGCCTTCGGCCAACGGCTCATGCCCACCTCTCCAATACACAGTAGCAAATAGAAACCGGGCTCCCGGGATATGACTAACGAAACATGGAAGTCTGCATCTTCCAGAGCCTCTTCTCACCTTCGCACGAGGTTGACAGCCCAAAGTACAAATATAGATTCATCCTTCCATCTCCATCTGCGATCTTATTGTAGCAAGGATTGTGTAGTGTATGTACCTATATTTGTTGCACGCCTAGAGGATGATGACACCACGAAACGTTTAATAAGGGATTACCCAGTTGAAACCCTTGCAATAATTTATGCCCATTTTGCCGACACTTCATTGCTCAGCGAAAATACCCATAACAGCTGAATTGGAAGTCTGGAAGCTCTGTTTGACTGTCGCATCCTTTGAATTGTTCCCTTTTTCGATTCAAGTGGAGCAATCGTCAAGCCGGGCTGGGCGCGGGAACGGCTCGGGCACTCCCCGACTACAAACGGACCTGGATCTCCGGGATATGTCCGACCGGCGATGAAGTAATTTGCTTTCAGTGTAAGCCATTAGTTAACAAGACAACAATTGTGCGAAACCCAGTTCACCGGCAACCACCAACCCATCCTAGTCAGCCTCCCTACTGTGTATTTCTTCGACCATGAGCAAACAGAGCCATATCGAACGAACAGCCAATGAGCCCCGTGAAGCGGTTTGTCCCCTTTCCAACCCTCGAAATGAATCCCCGTGGCCTAACTCTCGTTCCAGATCCTCCATACGCTCACAATCGCTCACATCGAGCAAGTATCTCCTACCATTCGAGTCATCCGCCTCGCCATCCCCCCAAATGACAACATAACTGCAAGTCCCCTCTCCACCCCCGACCTCCCCCAAATAAACCCCCTATTTACACGCCAGTGCCCGGCTCCCAGTTCCTCCCCGGCCAATGGGTAGATCTCCACCCACCACCCGAAGCCCAAGTCCCCAAAGCAGGCGGTTTCACCATCACCTCCTCGCCCACCCCTAGCCCTCCCCCGTCCCAACCCCAACCCCAGCAACCCCAACAACCGCCAGCATAACCCCCCCCTCCCCCCACTTCCACCAAAGCAACCCCCTCCGACCCCCCAACCCCCTACCTCGAACTGGCCATCGAATTCCACCCGAAAAACCCACCCGACGGCGACCTCTTCAAAAGCACCCCGCGCTTTGTCTACGCGCAGGTCCGAGTCGGCATCGGTGGGAGTGAAGTCAACAAGCCTAAGTTACTCTGGGATTTATTATATCACCCTCCCAACCTGAAAAGTAAGGCGATCGCCCGGGCAGAAGGTCACGTTCACGCAGGCGCGTGTGCTCAATCAATTTGCAGGGGATAGACCAAAGCTGACGAGAAGGAGAACGCGGAGCCGACCAACCGAAGTCCCGCTGTATCCGCCATCGAATATAATACCGAGGTCGAGGCAAAAGAGGATGAGCTTTGCTTTCTAGTATCTCTGGACAGCAACGGGCAGGGTGTGGGCAGAGCCCGTCCCACCCGGACGCGGGAGGACTGAGGAGA